ATTTTAATCTTCCTTGTATAGATGTATTGGAAATGCAAACATTTGATTGGAAAGGTATTATTTTAGACTCAGAGGAAAGATTCATACAGCAAGTCAGTGAAAAGTAATTTTTGGAGAGCCATAGGTTTACACAAATGGGAAGAAATCTTTATTTTTTTTCCTTTTTACCTGATAAATATCTTGACATGTTGACTGCAATCAGATGACACATGAGTGTGCAAATGACTGAGGTCTTGATGCAAAGCTTTGAGGTTTGAATTCAGAGAGAGGATGACTGTGAGCATAGATGGTCTCTATGTTATATAGATACAGTCTGTGTTGTTTAGGCCTCGTTACTATGCACATTTTCACTAGATATTAGACTAACATTAAGAAAAAATTCTCAGAATTTTGAGATTAGAGTCAAAAATGTATTTCGAAAAAAAAGGTTGAAATGTGAGGATTACCCTTGTTGTCGAAAGACATACTGCTACGGCTGCTATACCCTCTATAAAATGCCTTGTTTAGGCGAGTTATTGAAACAAATCGATCAGGCGTTTTGTCATACAGCATACATCCCCTTGCATTTATCGATGTAACTATCGATAACCTTCCTATCTGTCTATTACAAGCCATTTTCTCGTGTGCAAATTCACTCTTCAACAATTGTGTGTTTTTCCATCCAGATGCAGTTTTCTGCACCATCTTATCAATGTTCTTATACTGATCAGCACATTGTGGTTACATGCTAAAAGAGAAATAATTTCCTTCCTGTTACTAAAACCGATTCTGAAGTACAATTTCAGTCAGAGGATATAGCAACCCTGGCAGTTTGTAATCTGTAGTCTCCACATTTAAATTTTTTTCTTGAAATACTATTTCAACTTTTTTCTCAATTATTTTTTCTTATTGTGGCCCTAATACTCGTTTGTACACCTTCAGGGAATTATTCAGATGTAGGAGGAGCACTGGAATTAACAGGAGTACTTGAGTGCTTCCCAGTTGATAGTGGAAAAAAAGTAGTATAATAGTGTGTTTCACAACTTGTGATTACACTTTTGTTTATTTATTACTCTTTTAATTTTTTTCTTCGCTTTCTTTTCTTTTCTTTTATGATTTATGATCTTTTAGCTGTGTCAGGCTCAATGTTCCTCCTTATGGAAATGTTTTACCCAAACGCTGATAGCTCAATTTCCATATTTTCCCTTCCCATAAACCCCATTCGTAAACATGAAAGCTTCCTGTTCACTGGGGGTTTCTTTACCAGATGTGTTAGCCATGCTCACAATTGTCTAATTTTATCTAGCATGCTCAAGTCTCCTACAGACCCTGAATAAAAACAGGCATGGGATTCTATTTTTGACACCAAGCTTGTTGTGGAAATCTGAAATAAAATGAGATGCACACAACCACGTTTTTTTCATTTGCTTATTTAACTGTGGGGGTCAAACAACAGTACAGACAGCATGCCAGCAGAATTACAAGCACTGAAACATATAAAGTTACAAGTTCTCTACATGCCATGGTCATAAAATACATTTAGGACATTGTAATAAAAGATAACTTGAACATCAACACTTGCTGAAAGAATCCATGGTGACAGAATAAAGTGATAAGGAGCTTTAAATTCAATTAGGTCAGCTTGACAGAGCAAAGTAGCAGAATCTTTTTAATTTTCACTTTTGGTTACATCGACAGAGCAATCAGGAATGCTTAAATTACACCTCTGAGAGTCTTGTCGATCCATTGACGGTATTTTGAGATGTCCGTATAGACATTGGGTACATCTGGGTATTTGCAGTTTAAATTTCTGTTGAAAGAAACAACACCAACTGCGAACCCGTTGCAGACCAGAGGACCACCGGAATCTCCCTGTGAGGAGGACATATTTTAATTTTGTCAGTTTATATTAAGTGTTTTATATATTTTGCAAAATCTAATTAGTATATATTGAACGGACAGAAAACATACCTGGCAGAATCCTTTATTTGTTCCATAGCCACCTGCACAGATAGCATTTTCTGGAAGATTAGGCCATTTTTCCTTACAGATTTGATGTTGAATGACAGAAACGTCCACCACTCTCAGCTCATTAGGTCGAGTGTTATTTTCAGTCAAACCCCATCCAGCCACCTGGCACACTTCATTTTCTTGTAGTTTTATTTCAGCATGTGGAAGCTGAATTATCTGTGCTGTGCCGTCTAGTTGAACTTTCCCAGATAACTGAAGACACACAACATGAAATGAAAATTAGAAATGTCTGTTTTCATACAGTAACCCTTTTGCTGTGATGAAATTTGAATTATAACGCCACAAATATAAGGTCTTATAATTCATGCGAAACTGTTACAACTATGAATATGTACTTACTTTAAGGAGCATGATGTCATCACCATATTGAACATCTCTATAATTTTCAAACTTGATGGATTCTTTAATCTTTATTTTTTCATGATGGTCGTTGAGATTGTGGCTTCCAAGAACAACGTGTGTAAGGCTCCTGAAGAAGTAATCAATGAGACTTGGTCAGTTTTAACGAAATGAATAAGAAATTGCCACAAAAGACGTTGGATTACTTACAACTTACTTACCCATCGTTACAGTGTGCAGCGGTGACCACAAAGTCTTCAGCGATGAGAAATCCTCCGCATTTATGACCATGTTTGTTCTGCACTGAGGCCATATAAAGCATTGAGTTCTCTGCTGCCTTTTCCCCATGTATAATAACACTTCCATGCCCTAAAAAAGTCAAACCAAAATTAAGTTAATGTCCCAACAAATGGTTGGAAATTGATAACAAAGACTTGCAGTTCTTACCGAGGCATGCAAGAAGATGGAACAGTAGAAGTTTTTGCAGACCGTGCATGATGTTAGCCAAACAGTGAACTGTTTCTGGTAGGAGCATCAAGGAGACCTTTTTATAGGGCGTTTTGCCTTGTTGGTAAGTATGATAATAATCACTCTCATTTTGACTTTGAACCACATCCTTTTCACCCACCCAGGCCACCCCCACTTTGAGAAATGTGAGAAATGTTGCGAATGTCTTTTTTGTATTTTATTATGGATGCGTAAAACCAAGAAAAAAAACCCTTACATCCGATGACCAAATGATCAAACAACTTTTTTAAGGAGCCAAATTTTGTGTGCTTTCTTTCCCAGGCTAGCTTACATATCAGCTCAGAAAGTGAAAGTGTAACACAATACAGAAACGGTGTAATTACAATACCTTTTTAAAGTCTCACCTTTGCAAAACAATATTTTTAACTGAGTTTTAACTTTGTGGATACTATACCATCACAACTAAACACCCTGCTGCTGGTGACCTTCTACAGATCCACCATCGAGAGCCTGCTCACCTATGCAGTGACAGTGTGGCATGCCAGCTGCAGACAGGAAGAGACTGCAGAGGGTGGTAAACACAGCGCAAAAAATTATCCTTGTCTGCCATCTATAACTCCCGTTGTCTCAGCAGGGCCAGAAACATCTTGAAGGGCATTACCCACCCCGGCTACCATCTTTTTAACCTACTACCCTCTAGCAGGCGCTTCAGATCCTTACAGGCCAGAACAAACAGACTCAGGGATAGCTTCTTCCCCAAAGATATCATCATACTCAACTAAAACTTGCACAAACGTAATTTGGACTTCAGTATCTGCACTGACTGTATCATCGTTCTCTGGCGGTCTGTTTGTGTTACTTGGTGCTGTGTATTTATATTATATTTATAGTTATATTATTGTATAGTTTTTTAGAATGCGCTAAGCACATGTGCACTATGGAGCTGTTTTAAATCTTGTTATAATTTGTATAATGACAATAAGGACTTTCAATTCAATCACAACTGGTATTTATATTGAGGATTTTCATAAACAAATCACTCAAAAAACCCCCACCATTATTCGCTGGAATAGATCAAAGCTGCTGAAACACATTTGAATTCTGTGATGAATTGTTTTTCAATCAGGGAAATCACAATTACCAGATTTATGAATTTCATCGTTGTCAGTTACAGCAATAAAACTACTGCATTCACACTATTAATATGTAAAACTGCAACTGATACATATAGATAAGAGTCGAGCATTATCGCTCATCTGTTAACGTGCTAACTGAACACATCAAGTTTAACTGGCTATAAAATGTTGCTGATAAGTCTGACTTTCAACAAACAACCACATGCACATCAAAGAAATACAGCATAATAAAAAATAATATTGATAATAATACAGATACACACATATATATATCCAAAGTTTTATACATATTGCATGTGGGTTAAAACTGCAACACTCTATTGATATTTATTTATTGTTTGCATTATTTTTCATTATTTTATTTTGGCTCATATTCTGTCCAAAGTTTCTGAGACTTTTTACATCGGACTCTGCACTGCTTTACATCAACAGAACCTGAACTCAAGCCACTGGTTCCCTTTCAGCACAAGTCTGAAGGGCAGCCTGAACCTGCTTTGTGCCACGCACACCCCCAGCCTGCACCGTCTGGTCCTGTTCCGCCATAGGTTTCTGTACTGTCTGGTCCTGCTTCGCCCAAGCCAGTGGTCTGTACTCCACTTGAGTCAGTGGTCACCGCACAGTCTGGACCTGATTCGCTCAAGGGTCTCCGTTGACCTCCTGAGGGGTGCAATATTTGCGGCCTCCATCAGCCTCCAGTCCTGTCGCCCAACGGTTTTTGTCATCATTGTCAGCCTCCAGACCCAGATCCACTCCGCCTTCATAGCTGGCCTCCTGGTCAGCTTCCAAAATTGCTCTGTCTTCGCCAGTGGCCACACTTTTGGCCTCCTGAACTGTTAGTTCTTTGTTTTGGTCTCTAATGCTCCTGTTTTTCTTTGTGTTCACTCGAAACACAAAAGATGAACCTTTTGCGAAACAGTCTCTTTTGCTGGTAAGTATGATTATTATCTACAATATTTTTATTTCTAACCACATCCTTTGTTCAAGGTAAGTTTGCACACTTGTGTTGCATAATAATCATAATAATAGTGCCACATCAGTCTGAAGGACAGACATGCTCGTCCATCATTATGCTAACACAATTTGCTGCTCATTTTTAGTTGAACTTTTGAAATTTAAGACACTTTGGGCCTCCCGATTTGTTTCATTCAATATCCTTTATGGCCTCCTGGTCAACTGTAGGTACAAATTAAGTGACTTTGGATATTTTTAATGAGTGGAAACTCAGATGTAAAGACTTTACTGTGGAAATCAATCTTTGTCAGTATGATTAAGTGGCTATTTTGGATTATACATCATTGCCAGTGACTTTTGTGACTTTCTTCTTTGCTTTTTTCCTCTTATTCTCTGCATCTTTCAATGGCGAAGCACAGAAACCAGTTTTCTGCTTCAGTTCTATCATCAGACTCATTGGTTTATCAAGGTTATCTTGGTTATGTAATGGTTGAAAACTGACAAAAAGCCTTATAGTATAGTGTGTACTGGCAACATATAGACATTATATGTGGAAGCAAACTACAATGCGTTTAAAAGTTGTTTATTCCAAGCTTTTTGGATTTTCTTTCCTGTGGTTTTTTACATACATTGATCGACCTGTAGTTTAACTATACTCACAAGTAAAGAAGGCAGATGCCAGGCTTGACACAGCTGAATGGCATTATCTTTGAGATCTGCAGCAAACTAGATGAACCGCAGACACTACAGGATCCAGATAAGCTATTGCTTGTAGAACATGTACGTAAACTGTTCTTTGCACACACATTTGCTGATTTCTCATGCATTTAGTCTTTGTACTACTACTCTGACTATATTATTATTTTGCATTTGTTTTCCTATAAAATCTTTAGCTGTAGTACACGATGCATATAATCTATTGCTGTATAGTTCAAATCTCATTAGCCTGTGGACAGAGTGTCTGATGTTCAGCCATTAGAAGATGCTATTCAACAATTTAGCTCACTGAAATGTCTGATAAAGCTTTCAGCAGAGGTCTGTATTTCTGAATTTAAAAAGTCCATGTCAAATGCTAAGTCATTACCTTACCTCATCCAAATGTCATCCATAATTGTCCTTCTTAGATAAGAACTGATTTCACTCTTGTCATCCTTGTCCACATGCTGAATCTCTTAAGGCTGTATCCCTTGTACTTTGCCACGTTGTTAAGGAGACTAGTGTAAGGTCATTCAGATTCTCAGCTCACAGTTCTTCTCTTTTCCTAAGTTCTTATTAATTCTCGTACCCAGCTCAAGGACAAGAGGTCAGGAAAAGACGATGGGAAGGATTTCTGGAATGTATCCTATATTAAATATTTTTGTTCTTTCTTGACTGTTTAAAACGTTTGTCCGAAAGCAACCACCATAGATAAAATTATGCACTGGAATTTCGAGGGATTAAGTAAACAGACATCCAGAGGTGAAGTTTTTACACACTGTAACTTTGTCATAAGGATGGACCCACACCCTGAGTATTGGGAAAGGTTTAATACGTTTATTTACAAGCTGTGAATAAAACAAAATGGCACTGTCGGTGATATGGTGAGATTGAGGCTGAGCACATCATCTGGCTGACACGAAGATCTGCCCACATCTAAGTGGGTTCTTCAGTCTTAAAAAATCAGCTTCTGTTCCTTTGATAAGCTGCAGATGAGTTAATCAGCAGATTGATTAAGTAGAGAGACCGATAGCGGAACAGAAGAAGATGTTTTTACATCACTTCTCAGAAGAGACATTTTCAGGCTAGCTTGCATATCAGATCAGAAAGTGAATGTTCTTAGTTCTTACCTCGCCTTTTACCGTCAAAGAAAATGTTTACTATCACAACTTAATTTTAAACGGACAACTTTTTGAAATGAAGAGCATAAGAAGAAACAACATTATTCATTTGCATAGGCCAAAGCTACCAAAACACATGTGATTAGTGTAATAAACTGTTTTGGAATCAAAGAAACCACAGTCACCAGATACCGGTCATAATGTCAGCATTCTCACAGAGATGAAAACACTGCGTTCACACTGGCTAATGACTAAAACAACAACGGCTTGCTAATAACTAATGCTTGCTAATTTACTCCATAGCATATAGCAGATAAGAGTCATATTATCTCCCATCTTTCAATCTGATTGAACATGTTTAAATGCCTAGAAAATGTTGCTGACTAAAAATATTTGCTTTAGACAAACAGCCACAAGTACAGCAGCAAATGCAGATACATGCATATTCACAAGGTGTTAATAATAATGGATTGGATTTATATAGCGCTTTTCAAGGCACCCAAAGCGCTTTACAATGCCACTATTCATTCACTCTCACATTCACACACTGGTGGAGGCAAGCTATGGTGTTAGACATATTGCATGTTCTGCGTGCAGAACTAAAACATTACTGAGATACCGAATTCATATATGCATGGTTTTAGTATTAGGGCATTTTATATTTTGGGTCATATATGATCCATGTTTTCTGAGACTTTTTTTTTGGCTATCGTCACGGGTCTTAGGTTGAAGCAATTTTCTTTTTGTATCTATAGCAACGTTTTGCTTTTCAAAGTGGAAAAAACGAAAGCCTTTGGCCTGTTCCTTGGATGTTCCCACAGCAAAGTTCCCCAAAAAAGTTTTGAAAACGACATGAGTAAGAGAAAATACAGTTTCAAGCTTCAGGTTTTATTTTTTGCTTTTGGACTCACTGTAATGCAAAAATGCTTAAAGAGATTTAATCATTCCTGACACCTGACAGTGTAACAGAACATCTTGACTCAGGATTACATTTCTCTGCATGAAATGAATGCAAATGATATTCATATGGAAACATGAACAGTAATCTCACAGAGGAGGTGCTGTTGATTGGTGTCAAGAAGGAAGAGTTGGCTATCATAGTGTGAGAGGGAAGGTACATCCTGGACAGCCTGCAAGTTGTTTGCAGGCGTGACACAAGGATACAGAAAATCATTCACTGTAAAATCTAAAATCATCAATTAAGCAAACAAGTGTGTCGGTAAACTATGAGAGAAAGCCTCGGCCAACAAGGAACTTTAAACCCAGAACCTTCTTTCAGTCAGTAAATGGTTCTCACCACACACTATTCTGATCTCACACCAAACTCTCCATTTTCTTGTTTCTGACAGATGTGAAAAGTTAATTGAACACTGCCCCCTAATGGTGAAAATCTAGCTCTGATTTCGCTAAAAACTTCCATTGAGGTCTAACAAAATGATCATGACTGGTTGGAGCCCAGGGAAGGAAGGTAGGACAAAAGACGCACTGTGGAAGAGAGCCAGAGATTATTAGCATTTCTTTTTCTTAAGAATGGGTTTGATCCAAGAAAGGAATTTTGATATGTCCGTATAAACGTTGGGGACATTCGGATAGTCACAGATTTTGTTGTTGTTAAAGGAAACGACACCAACTGCCAAATTGTCACACACGAGAGGGCCACCAGAGTCACCCTGTGAGGAGGAAATGTTATTATTTGATTTGCCCGTCAATCATCAATCTTTTTTTTTAATATCATAGGTTGTAGAAAGAAAAAAAAGTTACCTGACAGATTCCTTTGTTTTTAAAGTATCCACCTGCACAAATAACTTTAGCCGGAAGCATATTCTGCCAAGCACTCTGACACCTGTCCTTGTTAATGATGGGGACATCCACCACTTGCAGCTCGTCAACATTTTCACCGTTACTTTTTATGGCCCCCCATCCAGCTACACTGCAGGTTTTGTTTTCCTTTAGATTAATTTTTGGATGTGGAAGTTTAATTGGCTTAATAACTTTGTTTCCTTCCAGGCGAGCTTTCCTGGACAGCTAGTGGCAGAAAATAAGAAATGAGATAGAAAAGAGAATACTTAAGGCAAATTTAATAGGGTTTAAATCCAAACCATGTCCACATGTGTAGCTGGTCAGTTGAATAACCAATATGTACTACAATACACAATCATCACTAACATGTTAGTATACCTATTAATGTGCAACACATTGTTAAAGTAAATAAAAACATGTTTGTTTTGTGTCACATATATTGCAAAAGGCAAGCAATAAGGAACTTTTTTTTCTTTCATGTGCTTTCCCATGAGTAACGTATCCGGGGCCAGTTACTTAAAATAAACTACAGTATTGTGTAAAAGTGTTGAGGCACCACTTATTTCTTTATAGTTTGCTTCCAAGGAGCCAGGCTTCACACACGGCTTGCTGAAATGCATAAAATTCATTTCATGTCCAGTTCTTATACCTCACCATTTTCAGAACATTTCAGGTTTTTAGAGTTCTTTTTGAACAGTGACGAGGATAATGCAGTTTGACAGGCATAAAATGGTATTTGTGCACCGACATGGTGACTGTCAAACAGCTACTAGCCAAACACTTGGCCAAAACAAAAGCAAAAGACAAAATCTATCTATATAGCATCAACATAACAGATAAATAATATCAGGAAGTCATGTAAGTAGGATATGCAGCAAAAACCTGATACAGGACCTAAGAGATGCATGTCTATGAGATTCAGGAGTTATCTACTTACTTTGAGAAGCATGATGTCATTTCCAGATAGAACATCCTTAAAAGAATGTTTGCACATCTTCACATCATATCTCATTGTGTCATCAACCTTTTTGAGATTGTGAGTGCCGAGAACAACACTTGTAGGATTCCTACATTAATGATAATAGAGAAAATTGAACGTTTATGTTTAGATGAATTTGAGGTTGCATGAAGAGTTTTGATTACTTACTTAGGAGCACAGTGCGCTGCAGTCATTACAAAATATTCACTGACAAGGAAACCTCCACATATATGTCCATTGTTGTTTTGCACTGATGCCATATACATCATCTGCTTTTTCTCAGCCTTTCTGCCTTTTATGATTTGACTCCCCAGTGCTGAAAGCAAATGTGCAAAATTTAAAAGCAACACACTTTTGCACATCTGTAAGAAATGGATTAAATCTTACCATTATGTCCAAGAAGCATCAAAGTTTGGAAGAGCAGAAACCCTTGCAGAGCGTGCATGATGCATGGAAGTCGGGTGAAAAATTTTTCAGGGAGGTAGTTGACCCCTTTATGCTTTACCTTGCACTCTGTCTGTGGTTTGTGGTTTTTGGGTTTTTTTCACTTCCTGTCTTCTCAGTATTCATTTCACATTTATCTTCACAGAACATTTGAATCACTCTTTATGCTCTTAGAACTGAAAAAGCTTTTCAGATGAGAGGTGAAACGTCTTCGAAAACTTCCAGATGCTTTTCTTTCCGAGCTCTAGCTTAATTAACAGAGTGATGTAGACTAAATGCTGTCACATGTACATGGAGATATATGTATACAATCTACACACACAGAAGTACTTTGTGCAGGATCCCTGATACATCTAACTCACAAAATATAATTAAAAGCACTGTTTTGTTGGAGCGCACGTGCAGAAGCTCCATGATCATTTCTAACAGGCTGAAAAACAGGAATGCAGGAATCAAGCTATCCAGAAGAGCAGTACGGTTAGCAAACATGGCAGTTTTTGTAGTTGTGTAATGACCTATTTTCATGGTCCTATTTGTGTTATGCACGTGTATATTGATGTTTGTGCAAAGCAGGCCAAACCAAATCGTCACACTACCACGACATATTTTTACTGTCTGTATTATTTTTCTTTTCTGAAATGCTGTTTTATGCCAGATAGTAATGGTGCACACACCTTCCAAAAAGTTAAACTTTTGTCTTATTATTCCACAAAGTATTTGTCCAGTCTTTCAAGTCATGGGGATCATCAAGATATGTTTTAGCAAACAGTGTTGGGGAGTAACGGAATACATGTTACGTATTTAAAATACAAAATATGAGTAACTGTATTCCGTTACAGTTACTGTTTAAAAAGGTGGTATTTAGAATACAGTTACTTTGTTGAAATAAATTGATTACACGGCGGTACTTCCCTGTTTCATATTGTCGCGGGTCAGGGCTGTTTGGGTTTTGTTTGACAGCTACGTTCTGTTGTTCCAGGTGGCAGCGTTATGGTTGCCATGGTTACAGGGTGACGCTCTCTCTCTGCGTGTGTTTCCTGGGTGAGAGAGCGCCTGTTGTTGTTGTGCTAAGCTAATAGGCAGAATGCTACAGGTATAGCTCTAAAGAATGTAGCATCATAGGCAGTGTAGTCCGTGCTGCAGGGAGACTGCCATACCCGTTACGTGTCTGTGAGCGAGGGAGGGAGAAAAAGGAAAAGTAGGAGCTGTCATCGAGCAAAAACGGGAGCTGGAAGCATGTAAATATAATAATAACCACTGCAGCCAAGAAGAGTGCCTGACGAGCCCAGTTGTAAGTAAGCTATTAAGACTCGGCTGTACACCGTGTTCGTGTTTTCCTCCGAAACAATAAGTTCCGTTGGAGCAGCCTTTCAATGTCTCTCTCTGTCTCTCGCTAGCAAAGTTGACCCAGACAACAAAGTAAAGCTATTTTTCGGCTACGAGCCTGACACAGAACCCACCGTATTAGTCAGAGGTCCCTTTACTACGGTTCGGAGCCGCGGACCTTCAGTAACAGTAATAAATCACAGCAATAGTACATTCATGTAGTTGTAAACAGCATGATAATATATTAAGTAATCCAAAGTATTCAGAATACGTTACTCTCATTGAGTAACGTAACGGAATACGTTACAGAAAACATTTCAGGGGCATGTATTCTGTAATCTGTAATGGAATACATTTTAAAAGTAACCCTCCCAACACTGTTAGCAAATGTCTCTTTGGTCAGCAATGGTTTTCTCCTGAACTGTGCCATGGATGCCATTTTTGCCCAGTCTTTTTTATTGTTTAATCATGAACTGAGCTTGACTGAGACACGTGAAGCCTGAGGTTCTTTAATGTTGTTCTGGGTACTTTTGTGACCTGGATAAATCATGGATGTGCGCTTGGAGTAATTTTGGTAGGCCAGTCACAGAGTTATCAGTGACTTTGTTTCTCAAGTGTTTCTTTAGATTGCTGTATGAAGTGTTGCTTATTTGGATGTTATGTTACATTATATTTCATTTTATTTTAAATTGGGTTTTGGATGTTATAAATAAATAAATGAATTTACATTGTAAACTGAAAAGAAAAACAATACAGTTTTGACGTAAGAGATGTAAGATGAGTAATTAGATACAGAAATAGAGTAACAACTAATCAAACACTTTGTGCATCATCTTGCTGTCTGTCTGTCTGTGGTTTCATCGACACTTTTATCTGTTTCTCTTCTGAAAGTTTTCTTCCAGAGAATATCAAAGCACTTTTTTTTGTGGGTGTTGTTGTTTGCTTCTAGGGGTGTGAAAACTCACACCATGGCTTGACAGCCAAACATGTGAAACAATGAAACCAGTTTCCAGTTTCACAGATGTTAAAGCAGCATATATCACTGTTTAGATTGTCAACATGTGTGTAACATTAAGTACAAAAAAAGTCCATAAAGGCATAATAAACAGCGACCACATAAAAAGACAAAACAAAACAATAATTTGCTCCAATCTACATATAGAAGCCCTGTTACATGAAAGGAAAAAAGCCATCCCCAGTAGTATTGCAGTTTATTGTAATACTTTATTTCAGGACAGTGCTCAGGCTGTTAATATGTGTTATTTTCTTAAGTTTAGTTTTGTTACAAGACTGAGCATCCCATAAAATGAGCAGGGCCTAATGACAGGCCCTGTACTAGGAGCCTAGTTCAACTTTTACTTTCTGTTTTCTGGATTCATTTAGCCTAACATCAGCCATCACATTCTAGGGTATGGTTGCAGCCAGTGTTGGAGTCATTACGTTACTTATTCACTTTGTCAGTAAATAAATATTCTAAACATCTACAGCAAGCCATGCCTCTGAGTCCACTTCCCTTCACCTGACATTGGCTGTATCCTAATTCAGGGTCTGCAGCCTTAAAGGCCGCATTTGAAGGCCGATTACGTCACAACGACGCGACGAAGGCTGTCCCAATTCGAAGGCTGCTCGAAATGCAGCCCTCAAATGCGTCCTTCATTTCCCTGAATTTTAAGGATGTGGCGGTGTAGACTTCGTGGCCCAACATATCCCAGAATGCATAGCGCGGCGGTGGGTGTGGATAATTTTGTCGAAAAAAAGGGCAGATGAGGGGCACCCGAAGAGTAAACTTAAGTAAGTACTGAATATTATGTCACTTATTTATGTGCAAATGTTTAATAACGAAGAACATTAAAACATTACTGTTGGCCACATGTCGGCAAAGTTATGTGACATTAGTGACGTTTGTACTAACTTGGTTTAAAAGCCTTTACTTTAAAATATACGCCGTTCAACAGCTGACCTTAATCTTACAGAGAATGATCAAAGCTCATGTAGAAACAAACAAATGAACAAAAGATTTTCTCCTTCATTTCTGTCAAACAAAGCTGTATGAAACGTTTCCAGCTGTTAGTATCATGGTTGCTAGGCAACCTGGGCAACGCAACGGAGGCTAGACCGTCCCATTTCACAAGCCTCGCACTTCCGGCCTTAGCGGTCTTTAAGTACGCGGCCCTTGAGGATCGTTGAGGCTGCGTACTTTAAGGCTGCAGACCCTGAATTGGGATACAGCCATGGTCCTCATCAGGGGTTGAGGAACCAGGACACACTGATGAAAAGTCAGCTACTAGAACAAGAAGGCATAAGTAGACAAGGGATGACAATAGGGAATTTTTGGAATACCACTATGCATGTAAGTTTTATGCATTTATCAGAAATGACCATAGACATTACTGGATTACTCACAAATCATTAAACATTATGTGTTATGTCATTAAACTGTCCACCAGTGAACACGAGTGGTCAGTAGTGACATATTTATTCAACAAGTGAAGGACTCACATGTAAACTTCAAGATGTTTTGCTGTAGAAACTTGTGGCACATATTGTAGTATACGTCTGTATACTAGGTGAGCCACATAAGCCACATTTTCCAGATTAAGATTTGAGCTCTGATGCTGAAAGTTGTGAAACTATTGCTATGGTTAGTTGGAAAGCACCGACATCCACAGTGCTTCACATCTGTTAAATTATCGTTCAGTGTCTGCAGAAGTTTTGTGAATTTATTATTTTTATCCTTATCATTAGCTATCTGTAGGTGTAGTAACAATAGATTTGCTTTTTAGGGTGTACATGGATGCAATCTGTTTTTGTGCAAAGTTACTCTGCAGTGAAGG